TTAAAATAAAAATATTTATAAAAAAATTAAAAAATTTGTCATGTTCCTTGCCGTGTCCGTGTCCCCATTTTTTCAAAATTGTCGTGTCCCGTGTCCGTGTCTATGTCCGTGTCCATGCGTCATAGGATGTGGGACGGAGAACAAAAGAGAAATATGGACATATTTCCACTCAAACTTCATCTAGAATCTTAGATAACCTCTTTGTCTCTTTATTCATCATCACCCAGACACTGCAACCAACCAAAGTCACCACAATAATAAAAAATAATAATAATCCATGTTAGTCAATAAGTGATTTAATTTAATTTTCAGAATATGTTATTCTTAACAAACTAAAATTCCAGAGAGTATCCGGTAAGTAGTCATAAAAGATTAACAACAGCTAAAACAATAAAACATGTAAAAGAACATATTAAAACTATAGCGAAAAAGTAGAATCCTGATCAAAATCTCCAAATAAAAATGCTACAGCAGTAGACCATTACAAGTCTTCAACATAAGTGAGCACAAAAGACCTTACAAAATCCGTTGGTGTATAAAACCTCCCAACAAAGTAGGACAAATATGTACAGTCATCAATAATAATTTGAAAAAAAATAATAATAAATTAGCTTGATCTCTCTGGTGTCAATTACATGCTCACAACAGTAGCAATAGCAGAGTAATATTATTTTAATCAACTACAAAAAAAAAAACAAAACCAAACAAAATACTTGAAAGACCTTGGATTCATTACGGCATTTTTTGCAATCAAATATTTTGTCACAAGGTGCTCTGATATTGCATCGTCCTCTCTAATATGAGCACATGACATTTATCTATCCACACACATATATAAAGGTCAATTCAATCTAAAAATTTAAGAGGGTAACAGGATTATTAATTGCATTTTAAGTAGTCTTATGTCGTATAAGAGCAATGCTACACTTGACATTTGGATTGAGCATTGATTGCAAGGGGCACACTTCATTATCATTATTGATATAACAATTTATAGTTCATCTGTTATATATATGCATTTTCAAATTTCCAAGATTGATAGCACAAATAATCAACTCAATAGAACAACTCATTCAGAATATTATTCTGTTAAAAATTGAAGTTCACGTTTACATTTTGACTGAACAAAATCTAATATATGGAATGTAGGAAAATAGAAAAATCCATTATAACATCCAATGACTTTACTTAAAAGCAAGGATAAATACTCATTTGCCACAAGAAATTTTACAATCAAACTTGAAAAAACATATTTCAGAGCTTAACGAACTGAGAAATACAATCATACCGTTCAACGGCATACACAAAGACACATTATTGGAAGCAACTCACTTCTAAATGCAGTCAAACAAAAAAATTATACAACATTATTTGTGAATTCTCTTCGAAATAATGACACAAATGCATCAGCTTACCTGTTACAATTTGCCAAAAATGAAATTTATCCATGAGAATAGATAGCAGAATGCATAGGTGTCACCTAAAAAATTCAAGTAAAAATTTGTTTCCATACCAACAACACCTGTATTTATGTCCAATAAAATCATAAGTAAAGCCGAAAAAACATTTATATATTAAATTTAAATAAAAATTGACCAGAAGTGCATAGTAAACATCAATAAAGCTTTTAGAAAGTAAACAAAGAGAAAAAATGAATATAGCCATAACCATATCATTCAAAGTCATAAATTTGAAATACAACTTGGAAGACCCAAAAGCCAAGAATTCAAATTTAAAACACTTACAATTACAGTGTGCAGATTTGTTAAGGCTCTTCTTTCCCTGTTTTCTTCTCAAAAAATATAGACATATAGATAGAGAAAGATATAGGGGTATATACTTACAAACCAGTCTGACAATCTCACAGAAACATAGAGGTATGTATATATATCTACACTATTAACCAATTTTTTACTTCTCATGTCCAAGTACGGGCACTGTTTTTGTGACAACCCATATATCTTGCACTAAGGACAAAGCAAAAAGTTAAAGACGGGGAAAAAACAAAATAGCATGAACCATTTTCTTCATTGTGCAAGAAAATACAATAACAAAAAAAACCATCTATTTGTGATATGATATCTTCTACAGAAAGTGTTTGGCAAACAATATGACGGGAAAAAAAACAACTCTTATTACCATTTTCTTCATTCTTGAATCTTAAACTTTGTAAACTCATCACCCAAAATCAAACAAAAATTTTAAGCCTTTAACTCACAAATATGGCAAACATTCAATCGCCAAGGTAATGCAATGATAAACATTGAAAACATCCATTGTACTGCTTAACCGCGATTCGAGCTAACCTTAAAATCTCAGGATGGTCTAAGGGTTTATCATACAGGGCAGATCCACCAGCAAGGGGATTACGGGAACCCAAGCGAGGAACTATAATGTCCTGTTATTAAAAAAAGCTCACATACAATACAATACAATACAATAAAATAATAACAAACAATAATATTGGGAAATTGAGTGTGTGTGTGGGTTGGAGTCTAGAGATAGAGAGACCTCAATCAGATGATAATGGTCACATAAGCTAGCAGTTGAGTCGCAATTTTTGCAACAGTCAGTACTCGGCAAAGAGGAATACAACTAGGGTTTGAAAGCGCTGCTGCAAACCAAAATTCAAGCTTTGGATTGACATACCCAGTTTTGATTTTCACCGTCCTCTCAAGAACAAAACGCACAGCCATGGGGTTTTAGTTTGATAGCGCTGTGGATGTACTCTACAGATTAATGGTACTGCAGATGAAAACGAGGCAGTCGCCGGCTAGGGTTCCCGCCTGCAACACACTAGTAATACATAAATCTATAACCTAACCTATCTCCTACTGCTATCAAGGCGCGCCTATTTATACGCCATATTTAATCAAAAGGTAAATAATCTTACCTAAAATAATCAAAATTACCATAATTGAATATACGTCTCAGCCCTTGTTTGGGAATAGATTTTTTTGTAATTTTTTTAATTTTTTGACTAAAATATAATATAAAAACTAATGAATGTGTTTAGTTTGAGTTTTCTGAATTAAGTTTTCTGAAAAAAAATTTGGTTTTCGTGTTTTTTTATTTTTATGAATATTTTTAAAATTTTAAACATTTTTTTTACTTTTTTAATGCACCTTACTTAGATGTATTTAAAAAGTAAAAAAATTGTGAAAAAATATTTTAAAAATTAACAAATACATAAAAATATAAAAAATGTACTGAATTCTTGTATTTTTTTATATTTTGGTATTTAGTGAATTTTAAATATATTTTTTACAATTTTTTTACTTTTTTGATATATTTATGTCAAGTGTGTCTAAAAGTAAAAAAAATTGCTTAAAATATTAAAAAATTCAGTAAAAACAAAAAAATACGAAAAATAAGAAGTATAATTTTTGAAAAGTATTTTTTGAAAATGAAAAACAAGCAAGCTGAATATTTAGAATGACTTTTAATTTTTTTACGAAAAAAGACAAAGAGTAGTGAAAAGAGAATTTTTTGACTTTTTAGTATAGGTTGTTGCTTTTCTTATTTTTTTAGTACCTTTTTGACTTTTTAGTTAAAAAAAACTTACCAAGCAAAGCCTTAGTTGAATACATAACCAAACCCTAACCCTCATCAACCCTTGACCCCAAATCATTGTCACTATCGTTGTTTCCATCGCCAGTTCCGACGTCGAAGTCCGAAACCTAACCTTAACCAGCGTTGACTACCCTTTTTTTTCGCCACCATCTTCTCCCCACCATCTCTCCTTCTCTCCGTTGCTTCTTCCTCCACAATCTTTTTCCCTTTCCATTGCAGCCCTTTCATCATCGGCTCATCCTTTCATTACACCCCTCTTTTTTGTCGTAGAACCCTCTCCAGCTCCCCTCCTCTCGCTCAAAACCTAGCGTCCACTACCGCCACCACTACCCTCCCTCTTCTCTCTCTCTCTTCTCTTCTTTTCTCTCTCTCTCTCTCTTCTCTCTCTTTTCTCCGTGATTGTCTTTGCTCTCTCTTTACGGTGGATGAAGGCTTGCGATGGAGGCAGAGATAGATCGGATGGCAGATCTAGCGACTGACGTAGAAGCGAGGCTGTTAGCAATGGCTAAGAGAGAGTAGGGTTGTTCACAATGTGGAAGTCATCGGTGCTGGAGAAGAAAGTTGCATGGTGGTCGGAGTTGGCGTGATGAGGAGAAGGGTGGTGAAATGGTTGCCGTTGATGGTGGTTGCCGGTAATGGTTTTGCCACGGTGTAAGTGTTTAATAGTTTTTTCTTTTCTTTTTTTTTTCTTTTTTTTTTTGAATTTGAGGTGTTACTAAGTGATGTGGGAGTAAAGGCAAAAATGGAATGTTGTAGTGTGTTGAGAAAAATTTGTTTTTTCAAATTATTAAATGTGTTGAACTGACTAGTGGTGTGCCTTGAGACCAATGTGGTGTGTATATAGAGGCACCCACTATCAAGTGTGAAAAAGATTTCTAAATCTTAATTTTTATCTTCTTAAATATATTATATTTTTAAAAGTATTGAAAATTTTTATATAAATTATTATCTATTTATTTTTAGAGTTAAACATTAAAAATAATATATTTACTTTCAAAAGTCATGTTTTCTAGTTTTTTTTAATCTCAATTTTACCCTCTCAAAATTTACTTATTTTTTAAAAGTCATAAGAGTTCTATATAAACCAGTTATCTCTTTATTTTTGGAGTTGAGTACTCAAAATGATATACTACTTCCAAGATGTTAATAATAAAAAACAACCGTCACTCTTCTATACTAATAAAAAAAGATAGGTAAACTACCAATAGATCTTAATAATTAGATTTTAATTCTCATCAAAGTCCTATTGAAAATAAATCTTAATAAAATTGTCACTAAAAATAATGTTTTGTGACGATTTTTTTGCATATGTCGTAAATTATGATAATTACTAACTTTTTTTATTATAGTTTTTATAAATTGTCGCTAAAACTTACAATTAGAAACGTTTTTCTTTGACATTATTTTTTAAACTGTCGATAAAAGTTAAAAATTAATGACTTTTTTGTGACAATTTTCTTAAACTATCTCTAAAATTTATAAGTAGTGACATTTTTTATAACAAAATTTTCAAACTGTCGCTGAAAATTAACAATTATTGATATTTTTTTAATAGTGGTGGATGATGATTGAGAACAAAAAATAATTACTCTTTCTTTTTTCTGTGTCTGTTCCAAACTATATACATAATATTTATAATTGTCCATCATATGAATAATTTTGGTTGATCTTAAAGTTGTATAATTTCAATTGAATCTAGACAGAGGAAAGCACATGTGTTTTTAAAACAGAGATTTATATTATATCTCAAAATTTCACAAGTTATCTTCATACACTTTCTTTTTGTTTAAATTATATTTTGTGATTTGTAATATTTTACACCGTACTTTAATAACCAAGTATGATGTCAAAATTCTAAATAAGAACCACTTTCGTTGGTTGTATTTTTAAATCTATTTTTTCAATTTGATTTTCATATCTTCTCAGTTTTCTAACTATTTAATTTCTTTTATATTATTTGGAAATAAAAATATGTAGAAATAGAAATTAAAAAATTCATAAAAAAATTAATATAAATATGTTGTAGTTGATTATTCATATAATGATTTTATATAATATATACATATATGTATATATATTTGAATTATAAATTGTAAAATAAACGCTCTTAATTAAATAAAATACCAACTATATAAAAGAAATTCAACAATGACTAACCAAAAAAGAATAATATAATAACATCTAAACTCAAAAACAAAGAAAAAAATATGAAAACATTCAAATGATGGAAACATCACAGTATGTGAAATATTTAATCTCTGTAATATTAATCTCTCTCTGTGTGTGGT